CCCCCCCCCCCCCCCCCCCAAAAAAATAATTATACTGACTCCAAGCATTTTAATAGTATATGTATAATGTTCCAAAAGCTTTTTATTTCAGATAAATGCTAATCTTTTGATATTTCTATTGGATCTTTCTTACTACTCAAGAATTTTTGACTGGTAGTGTATGTATGTAGCCTATGTATCACACTCATATCACATTTTGTTTTGGATAAGAATAAAACATCAAGTCCGACAATATCCTGTCTTTTGAAAAAAAAAAAAAATATGTAAAATATGAAAAAAAAAAAAAAAAAAAAACCTTGGCATTGGCCCATGGAAACCTCTATGAACACACTTGACTTGGCTAAAAAAATCGCTGGGGATGAATTTACGTTTTATTAAAAAGTGTTTACGTATTCTACATTCATGGCGCACACACACATTATAGGTTAGATGCCTGCCTCCGTTGTGAGTCCCTATCAAGCACTTTACCGATTCATCTACTCTCTTCTTCTCCTCCTGCCTTGCTCTTTGGCCCGCATCACTCACCGCAGAGCAAGCCTGATCTTGATAAAGCTGCTGTGAAAATGTGGGAAATGCCGACGAGCAAGAAGTTGGGGTGATGCGATCTTTATATCGGCGGAGCAAAATACTTAATCGCTCCGTCTATAGCGCATTGTGATTGGGTGTTTACACTGTCAATACAGGAGACAAACCAATGGGCCACTGGCTGCTCGCTGTCCCTGCGTGATGGTCCTCGGAAAAAAACATTCTGTCAGCCCCTTAAGTGTTTTGGCCCACCGGGAAAATGCCCGGTATGCCCGATTACCAATCCAGCCCTGATCATGACTACCAAGTTTCTTCAGAGTGTGACTGAGGCTGTTTTTTCTCATCTTTTTGCTTTGTCATTGGTAATGTTTCAAGGGGGAAAAAATAAAAAATACACAATTAATCAATAAATGGATGAATAAACAAACAAAAAACATAAAGAAAGAAAGAAATAGTCTTTCAATCTATCATCAGAACATAATGTGTATCACACACAGGTATTAAATTATTTTATTAAAGGGCAACTAAGTAAACTTATTTCCAAAGCCTGAAGTCTTCTTAATACTAATATAAAGACATTTTTTCAGGACACTCACATCTTCCATGTCACTGTCTATGCTCCCTTGTTTCTTCTTTTTCTTTTTCTTCTCATCTTCCTTCTTCTTCTTATCCTTCTCGGGTATGACATCATCCAGGAAACTGAGGTCGTGCTGGGAGAAGACATAGTCCAACGCCTTCCTCACAGCAACCAGAGCCAAGATCTGACCAATGAGAATAGCAAATGGTGCTCTTTCAGTTAGTGCATATACTACAGATGCATTTTGCAAACATATTGGAACTTGAGTGTCAGTTAATATTATTGCTGACTGACAAACATCTAAACATTACCAACATTCTAGTGCAACATGCATTTTGTCCCTTTTCTAATGGGGTGCAATACGTAGCACAAGTACTAAACCAGTCAACACTTTTGAATAATTCAGATTTTTTTTTAATGCAGTCTTGGTGCATTATGCAGTCTTGGTGAGCAAAATAAACTTCTTTCAAAAACATTAAAAAAAACCTTAAGTATTCCAACTTTTGATGGCTTGTGTAATATTTAGCCTTGAAGATCTCAGTTTTGCAGTCACAGCCGCTTCCAGTATTAATGTTCAGTATTAAATCAAGAACAGGTGAAAGAGGTGACTAACCATAACAGGAAAAACGATGGCAGCCACAGTGGACTTGAGGATCCAGAGGAGCGCCAGGCAAAGCAGCTGGACGAAAGTGAAGAGATGGACCTTCCTCAGTGGCACATGCCGCAGGTAGATCAGGTCTGGTTGGTGTTTGGCAGGCATGAGGAGCAGCTTGAGTCGGTCCATAAACTGAGAACCAAAGAGCATTATTAAAAAAAAAAAAAAAACATACTTTTCCCAGCTAAGTTACTGTCAAACGATTTCAAATAGTGATTATTAAAATAATGTAATGTTTTTGTAAATATTATTATATCTATATTAATTGAATGCCACTTTATTAAGCCTGTTTTTAACGCGGCGCGTCAAACCAAAAAAGAACGAGCCCAAGGCGGGGTTTTTTATACGCTTTTACACCTCGCATTTTGCGCATCGGTGTGCACACTCACATTGGCGCCCTTTGTTTAGTCATGAGGCGTTAAATGTTGGCGATAATCGCGCGCGATATTCGTCCTGGTGTGAACAAATCTTACAATTCCAATTTGAAATATAATTCTGCGTCCCAGAAATGTAATTTAAAAGTAATTAAATTGTTTTTTATTCAGTTTTTAATAGCACAGAATTGTGTTGGTAACTCACCTGAACTCCGTTGAGTGAAGCCACTCCCATGTAGAGGAAGACTCCATACAGCACTGGCATGGGTATAAACTACAGGAAATAATTATTCAATTAGAACAGAAAAAGAAAATCACACACATGCAGCAATGTGTTTGATGCAACTGGATGTATTGTATTGTTACCTTGAGGATAGGAGACATGAAGACAGACAGACCAGTAAGGATGAAGACAAAGACACCAGTGACTCTCTGTTCCCTGAAGAGGAGACAATTACAAAAATTAAAAAATAAATAAATAAAAATAATTGAAGTCTATCTATTATAATTTCAACTAATGACACTACATAGCCAAAAGTACACTACTGTTCAAAATGTTGGGGTTGGTAAGATGTTTTAATGTTTTGGAAATAAGTCTCTTATGATCACCAAGCCTGCATTTAAAGCTCATTCTGATTCTGATTTATTTTATCAACTATACAGTAAAAATTATAAGATTGTGAAATATTATTACAAATAAAATAACTTTTTATATATATATATATATATATATATATATATATATACTGTATTTTAAAATGTAATTTATTCCTGTGAAGTAAATCAGAATTTTCAGCAGCCATTACTCCAGTCTTCAGTGTCACACGATCCTTCTAATATGCTGATTTGCTTTGCAAGAAACAATTATGTGATACATTTTTCATCTTTAGGAGTCTTTGATGGATACAAAGTTCAAAAGAACAGCATTTATTTGAAACAAATTTGAAACAATTTGTAATTTTATATTATAAAATGTACTTTTAATCAATCTCATGTGTCCTTGCTGAATAAATGTATTCATTTCATTGAAAAAATGTTGAATGTTAGTGTATGTGGGTTTATTTGGCCAGGTTTGGCTATTTCAGCTGCACCCATGAATAACAGGTGCATACAGCAATAAAGCATATATCTGTACAATCTTCACAGACCAACAGACATTTAGTGTATCATTGTTTAAATTACAGGAAGAAGTCAACTGGCACATGCTTTTATCCAAAGTTACTCCTCCTGGAGTGACTTGATCAGGGGCATAAAGGTGACGGTTTATAGATTTGAACCTGCAATCTTGCAGTCACCAGCTCGCATCTTTAACCACTAGACCCCACTTCTTTAATTACTACTAATAATTTCTAATTATAATATCAATTATCATTAATAGCTGAAATATTTTGGAGAATTAAATCATATTGGATTGCTTAACCAAACCAGAGAAGCATTAAAAATACAACCTAAATATGGGCACAGTGTGTTTTCAGCAGAACTAGGCCTGTTTACATTTGTTCAGCTTACAGCTGCATCAATAAACCCCCTGGAGTTCAGTCCAACATGCAGCCTTTTAACAGGCGTCCCATTGAGCCCAACTCTGTAATCAACGAGTGATTCAAAAGCTCTACTGGCATAGACACTGTACAAATACATAGGAATCACCAAAAATCTTCTTTTATATGCATTAGAACGTACCTGACACCCAAAAATTTAGGCTGTTCGCCAGGAGCGGATGTCTCTGTCTCCATTTTCAAGCTGTCAATGTGGGCGATGGAAATAACTGTAGCAGCTACATACCAGGGCAGACCCAAAAAAGAGCATACTGCTAACAGCACAGCTACCCAGAAGAGATCCAGATGATAGCCTGCACCTTTCTGATCAAGACAGAGAAAAGAGGTTGTTTACAAAATGCTATTGCAAGAATCAAAAACATTTTATCACTCATAACAGTGCTTGGTGACATTTTACAGGAATAGTTCACCCAGTAATTTTTTTCAGATTATTTACTCAGTCTCTTGAAGCTCTAAACCTGCATGCAGGTAAACAATGACTGAATTTTCATTTTTAGGTGAACTGTCCCTTTAAATAATCCATCAAGTGCTTTATTCTAACAAATAAAACTACTCTGCATCACACAAAAGTACAGTACAATATGTCACCAGGGCAGTGTAATTCTCACAGAGATGAGAATAGGAGTTCTTCCATGGGGAGGCATTATAGTGAGAGGACACAATGTTTTGAGGCCAATCTCACGTTACAGGCCAAAAAAGAATAAATGCTTTGCCTTTGTCTGATTCACAATCCCTTATTGTTCCACTCAGAATCTGGACCAATAGTGTGACGTTGGGGTGAAACTGCTTGGTGAAGCACCGAGTTTGAATTTAAAATGATTTAAATATAATATAGCCTTGTGTAGATTTCATGATTATCAACAAAATCTGTCTAGCTGTCATCTTACAAACTCAGTATATTAAAAAATCAAACTGCTTATCCTTCAGTTTTCAATGTAATATAAAAAAATCAAGAAATATCAATTGTCATCATCAAAATATCAATCTCTTTAAATAATGCTATTTTTGACTCCAAGTGCTGATTCACATCCTCCAGACAAAAGATAAAAAAGCTCTATTTGTAAGAGACTTTCTATAAATATCCGATATAGTTGCCCATGACACTGTGAGTGTTTCCTGTGGTCCTGGGCGGCTCAAAGTGAGCGTGATAAACCATCTGGCTCAGGAGAGAATCACACAGCACAATCACGGCAGGCCTACCTTCAGCTTGTGCTCCTTGCGATTGACAATGACAGCGGTGATCTGCTGATCCATGAAGAGCAGGATGGTCACCAGCAGGGCAGGCAGAGCTGCTGCCAGGTACACCCACCAGGGGTTCCCTCCGAAAGGTGGCACAAACCAGCCACGGTTTGGGCTTGTTGGCTGAGGACACGAGGGAAGTGCAGTTTGAGGATCACAGAAGTTTGCGGTCAGGGCACTTGGCAAATGTTTACAGGAAACGAATGGTAAAGTCCTGAATGGATAGGCACTGACTTATACTGTGAATCTGTACTTAAGATGCGGCAAACAGGGAAAGGCCAGCCAATGTACCCTCTGATATTTGTTTTCCTGAGCAAAATCTATTTCTATTAAGCAGACAATCTGGACCAATAGTGTGACGTTGGGGTGAAACTGCTTGGTGAAGCACCGAGTTTGAATTTAAAATGATTTAAATATAATATAGCCTTGTGTAGATTTTATGATTATCAACAAAATCTGTCTAGCTGTCATCTTACAAACTCAGTATATTAAAAAATCTAACTGCTTATCCTTCAGTTTTCAATGTAATATAAAAAAATCTAGAAATATAAATTGTCATCATCAAAATATCAATCTCTTTAAATAATGCTATTTTTGACTCCAAGTGCTGATTCACATCCTCCAAACAAAAGATAAAAAAGCTCTATTTGTAAGAGACTTTCTATAAATATCCGATATAGTTGCCCATGACACTGTGAGTGTTTCCTGTGGTCCTGGGCGGCTCAAAGTGAGCGTGATAAACCATCTGGCTCAGGAGAGAATCACACAGCACAGTCACGGCAGGCCTACCTTCAGCTTGTGCTCCTTGCGATTGACAATGACAGCGGTGATCTGCTGATCCATGAAGAGCAGGATGGTCACCAGCAGGGCAGGCAGAGCTGCTGCCAGGTACACCCACCAGGGGTTCCCTCCGAAAGGTGGCACAAACCAGCCACGGTTTGGGCTTGTTGGCTGAGGACACGAGGGAAGTGCAGTTTGAGGATCACAGAAGTTTGCGGTCAGGGCACTTGGCAAATGTTTACAGGAAACGAATGGTAAAGTCCTGAATGGATAGGCACTGACTTATACTGTGAATCTGTACTTAAGATGCGGCAAACAGGGAAAGGCCAGTCAATGTACCCTCTGATATTTGTTTTCCTGAGCAAAATCTATTTCTATTAAGCAGAGCCTCTGGCATGCAGCCTTGGTAAGCATAAGAGACATACGTCTTTCAAAAATAACTTACAGACCCCATTTTTGAATGGCACTGTCTGTGCTGGAGCAATATTAGAAGTGCACATCAGAAGGAACATCTCTTAACAGTAAAAGACAGACAATATGGACAGAAAGATTACCTTGAATTCACTTGGCACTATGAGCTTTGGCGTATCGACCCCAACAAGAGCATCAACGCCACAGAAGATCAAAATTGCCAGGACAATGGCAAAGTCACTTATGAGTTTTCTCACCTAAGAAAATGGAAAAAATATGCTTTTTTTAGTAACTGCTGTAAGTAATGAGTATGACGTCAGTAGTCTTTGGCCTCAACAACTGCAGTATTGATTAGGAGTATAGAGACTGGATTGACAAAACAATTGTCTACCTGCCCACAGTATATGGATTAGAGACTAAATATTGATTGCCTCTACACATGCTGTATGATTAGAGGCACAGATTGACAAATCCATCACAAACACGCCACAGGTGGACAATGTGGCTACTTACAGTAGTAGGAAAGAACGGGCTGGTTTTGAATTTCTTCAGACACATAGAGCAGGTGTAGGTGCCAAAGAAAAGGATGAAGGACATGAGGGTGATGTCGGGCACAAAGTTACAGGCTGTGCCCACTAGCTCCCCTCCGTATTTCAAGCATTCCTTCTTTGACAGTGAGGACCAGCTGGCATTCAAGCGCTGCACAAATGACACAAAGACATGATCAGAACATCAAATCTACAGGTGTCTGGATCAAACAAGTTGTTCATTTACAGAAAATCATGACATTCCTTGTAACTCTCTCGTTATGAAACTAGCAGCAATAAGTCAGATCTTATTGATTGATTTTACAAACCCATGCTAAATAATTTGCATTGATGTAATCATGCTTATAATAATAACTGAGGTATGAACTGAAATTGTTTTACTGTGGTGATCTGCATTATTAGCACACAGACCTACAGTAACTTGAACCCAAGACATACATTTAAAGTTGAGTGACACTTGTGTTATGAACAAAGACAGTTGCAGAACATTGAACACTCTCCAGTTTCTGTTTGAAGGCTGATGCTTTGTTGTCTTCAACCTCTCTGAAGTTTTACAATGACTCTGTTACTGTTCAAGTTTGCACAAAAGGTGCGAAACATGAGCTATGGCTCATTCAGTCACAAAGATATTGGCAAGGATTTGGGCATTATGTTTCATTGATCTCAAACTGAGGACTACATCTGAATGAAACCATTGAGAGATCTCTATTATTCGCAGCTGGGAGCTCAGTTTGGCTTTAGAAGAGGACAAAACGTCAGGCAGGTCTGGAGAAAACGTTTTATGAAAACAGCCAACAATTTAAGGATTAAACGGCACCATGTACTTTCTGAACATAACCAGGACAAGGAAGTTTTCTTCAATGTGTTGTGTAAGTTCTGTTTGGTGACCTCAATAAACCTAACAAGTGAAATACACTACACAAGTTTTGTCCAGATTTTTACATTTTTAGTCTGGAGCAGTTGATAAAAGTTGCCTAAAGTCAGTGCCAGTCTACAGATTCTGAGCAGTTGACAGGTTTCACAGAAAATCATGTAGTGTATAATGGGCATAGACTTCGATTTATTAGCTTTTTCAGACTATGATTCCATTCAGTCAAAGGATATCAAATATGTTTTATATTTTTAGCTGATTTTATTTTATTTATTTAGACATATTTTTTTTAATTTGTCCTTTTTCTCCTAGAAATGAGGAGCATGTTTCTCATGTAGTGTATTACAGCCTATGCACATATATTAGTGATGTTTTGAAACACTTACTGTATCACTGTAATTTACAGTCCAGATAAATGTTGAATCAAGTGGATCAGTGTACACATCTGAAGAATTGGCTGAAAAACACAAAGGTCAAAGGTCTGAAGTGGCCTTTAGAAAGAACCAAAAACATACAGTGGGGCTCAAACATGTAAATCTGAAACCTGGAAATTTAGAAAAAGTCTGAAACTTTATTATGTAAAATAAATAAATAATGCAAATAAAAACAAAAAGGAAAATCCAAAATAGAAAGGTTTTCACTTCTCATTTGTGGGACATATTTTCCCATTTTATGTGTAAAATTTAACTGTAACATTTGTACTATTTAAAGGGTTAGTTCACCCAAAAATGATTAATTCCTCCCCCTCATGTCGTTCCAGACCCGTAAGACCTTCGTTCATCTTCAGAACACAAATTAAGATATTTTTTTTTAAATCTGACAGCTCTCTGACCCTCCATTGACAGCAAGGGTCCTACCACGGTCAAGGCACAGAAACGTAGTAAGGACATTTTTAAAATAGTCCATGTGACATCAGTGGTTCAACCGTAATTTTATGACGCTACGAGAATACTCGTAGCAAAAAAATTAAAATAAAAATAAATAAATAATGACCTTTATTAAGTAGTATCACTCTCCATAAAGGTAGAAGACGGTAACTCGCAAGAGAAGAATTGTTGTATAAACTCTTTATTTTGTTTTTTTTTGCGCACAAGAAGTATTCTTGTAGTCATAAAATTACGGTTGATCCACTGATGTCACATGGACTATTTTAACAATGTCCTTACTACCTTTCTGAGCCGTGACCATGGTAAGACCCTTGCTGTCTATGAAGGGTCAAGAAAGCTCACGGATTTCATCAAAAATATCTTAATTTGTGTTTGCGAAGATGAACGTAGGTCTTACATGTTTGGAACAACATGAGGGTGAGGAATTAATCACAGAATTTAAATTTTTGCGTCAACTATCCCTTTAACACACTTGACTCAGACGATGTCACTATTTTCCTTTAAACTCTCAAAAAACACGACAGATTTCACAAGCAGATGCTCACACAAGTGCAAACATTTTATCACGGTTACGGGCGAGTCAAACACAACATACGTGCCAACCAGTTCGCAATGACCGCTGTAAAATGTTCACTACTTCTCCACAGCATTAATCTTTAAAGAGACTCTTTGCTGGGTTCCCCTAACTGGAACTAATTTCCACACAGCTGTTGTTTCCCTCTGCAGTATCGGATTGGAGAGAAGTCGAGGGAGGGTGAAGAGGAGCAAACAGCGGTTTAGAGGAAAGCAGCATGAGTGGATGAGCGCCCCACCCACCAGCTCCTCTCTGTACGGTCTTAATTCACCACACGCATGGAGGAGATTAACCCCAAACCACATCACGTCCACATCCACCCCCTAGATTGCTCCTTCATTCCTACTGACGATACCACACACACAACGCCACTAGCACAATAAACAGATGAAGTGAATGTCAAAATTGTTGCCAAGTCAGCCACAAAACATTACACTGATACAAAGAAGAGATTTAATTATTATTTCAAAACTTCAAAAACAAAGTTTTGTAATTGTTCAATTGTTCAGAATATCAAACGGGCCCAGTGGTTTAGCAGTGTGATAATTGACTAACAACATTCTTTCACACCAATATAAAACCTGCATTAAAAAAAACAAAGCAGATGACTGCAGAATGTATCAATTCCTGTTCTTGCTGTCTTCTGTTTGGGATGGAAACTCAAAGTCACCCTTCAGTCGCTAATAAATTAACTTAAGTGAAGTCACAGTCACAATAGATTTTGAGCAAGCAAAATTTCTCCGGACACTGCAACTGTCATACTATGATGTTGCACTCTGTGGCATCTTTTTTTTAAAACAAATTCAGGTGAAATTCAACATATAGCAGAAAAATATTCAGTCTACTCTACTGCAACACCACAATCCTGCATATTTAAAGCTTCCATTTTTAATTCAACTGACATGACGTACACATCTTTACGAAACTCGGAGTGTCAGAGTTCACAGAAATTGAGCTTTGGAATGCATTCGCACCCGTACGAATGAAAGTCAGTGGAACTTTAGTATGACCACTCTTTTAAGGTGGGGTCACATTAGAGAAATTTTCAGTGTAGTGAAAACAGTTTTCTGTTCGTTAGCATGGAGAATTGACCCGTTGCAAAATCTGCATTGTAAAAACTTCAGCCTTCATGAAATTCCTGATTGCGTGGATTTCAATTAAAATGAATGTATTTTGCCAGTAAAAAATTTGTCAGACAAAGCTAAATGCACCTTTATTGACTTGAGACTTGACTTAGACTTGTATACAACTGACTTGAGATTTAATCTTGTAAACAATCGAGTCTTGACAAATCCATTAATCTGAGACATGACACTCAGAAACTGCTGCTTTGATACTTGACTTATACTTTATCTTCGAGACTCCGAATTAGAGAAAATCTATGAGTGTATAGAAAACTACTGTCAAAAGTGATTTGACATGGATTGTGACAAAAGACTTGAGCCTTGACTTGTACTGTATATCAGACACCTGTTATCATGTCTGGATATTGTAGCTGCAAGCCATATGGTGCACTACTGTGTCCTGCTGAAAATTAAGATGCAAATGGAATGAATATCTATGGCATCACTATAATTATATCCAGGAAAAACGACAACTGAATTGAGTCATCATGCACTGAACTGAGTTTTGGATATAAAGACAAAAGCAATCCTCTGGGTCTGAACTATCATTTGAAGACCAGAAATAGTACAACAAATAGGATAATTAAATATTTATGCTGGTCATATTTATAAGCCGTGTGCCAGATGTCGACTTGGACACCTTTTAACAACAGCTGTACAAGCTTCAACTCTATAAAAGAGCTAAACATCCATTCCTATCACACTATTGTGCTTCCACTGTATGTGTATCAGTGTCAATCAAGCAACTTCAATTTATACTCAGGCCAAATTTCTTTCAAACTACCAGGTAGCCACGAAGTGGAATGAATGTATGGTAACTGCACTTGAGCTCAAAGCAGCACATCTTGGATCCCAGCGAAAGGGAAAAAAGGTCACTTTGTGCTACATCATATCTGCTTCACTGAGCAAAATAATGTTACATATGCATCAGTAATCTTTTTTTCTGTTTTGTCAGCACTCGTCTGGTGCGGTCAAGTCAGAGACTTAGAAAGGTAATTCGGAATTTAAAACTAAAGTAAAAATTCAGGCAATGGATAAAGGTTTTGTAAGCTCAATTAGCATCTAAATACCAAAGCAAGAAAACTTCAGAGGAAAAGATGTACCAGGTCTTACCATCAGTGGGCGCCATACACATGCAGTCATACTGCGTGACGTAATTGATTTTATAGTCTGAGTTGATGGGGTAATAATGAGCCAACTTCAGCATCTTCTTGAAGGAGTCATAGATGAAGATGAAGCTGATGAGCGAGGAGAAGCCCTCTTCTGTAAATCGGGTGAAATACTGCACCAGGAAACTGGCGTCAGTGGCCACTAGGGCTAGACAGAAGAAGGCCGACCACAGGCCGATCCAAAGACGGAACTCTAGGTAGTCAAAGTCATGCTCCCTGCGGAAGACAGAAAATGGACAGAAAATTAACTAAATTCTCTCCAACTTTCAAATCATCCAGCAATGAAAAGTACAATACCGTTTAAATGTTTGGGGGTGGTAAGTTATTCTTCGTGTTTTTGAAAGTCTCTTATGCTCACCAAGGCTGCATTTATATGATCAAAAATAAAGTAAAAACAGTAATATTTTGACAAATTATTAACATTTAAGTAACTGAATATATTTTAAAATGCAATTTATTCCTATGATGGCAAAGTTGAATTACTGCAGTCATTGTCACGTGATCCTTCAGAAATCATTCTGATATGCTGATTTGGTGCTCAAAATTATTTCGTATTATCAATGTTGAAAACAGTTGTGCTGCTTAATAGAATCTTAGTTTCAGATAACTACTAAATGGTGAGTATATGCAGTAGTTGGTTTGCAATGTCACATTCTGAACAGAGATGATGAAGCACCTGCTGAAGTTGAAGAGCAGCCTTTCAAACACCAGCACTGGCCCCGTACTGCTGATGATTGTCAGAGGTTGCCCAGCCAGGAGACAGAACACTGCTCCAGACACCGCTGTGCCCAGAAAGCTCTCCAGCACACCCTTCACACAACACACAATGAAGAAGAGTCAAAAGGTTAGGGACAAATCCAATTAAGGCTCAAGCTCTGTGGACAGAAAGTCTGTTTAAAGCCCTGCTCATACAGGACTAGCTTTCCTTGTTCACAGATGTACTTTGTGATTTTATCCCATGCAAATCTGTGCTTTCTCTCACATAACCTCAGTAAAAATTACAAAGCAAATTACCTACTTTTCTTTACATAACTTATGTACATAATGTTAATTCATTCTTTCAATGGATTTATCATTAATATCAAGCACACTGAATTCAATAAATTGATTTTTATTACCCATAAATTTAATTAGGTGTTGCACATGGCACATGCCATATCCAGACCGTAGACTCCAACTTTCATTGTTAACTAGCCCTGTCCAAATCAATACATGGAATCACTGAACTGAACAGCTTTCCTGTTCTGAACTGAAAGATTGACTAGCCAAAGACGTGTGCAGCAGACCTTAGCATGCATCTTTAAGACAGAAAATGATATGAACTGTGAGACTTTAACTTACTAACATGACCTTTGAACTCATGGTAACATTTCAAAAGGAGGGCAGAGAAGTAGCAGCTCCCAGTGTGTGTCAGTTAAAGATTGACCAAGATTGAATTACACTGTAATCCTTGCCAAGGTTGGACTGATTCTTATTTAGAAAGGCTCTGACACAGAGAGCACATCACATCCGTACACTCATGTAGTTTCTCATGGTTTGCAGCTGTATCTTCACCTGCATGTTCTCTGTGGCGTCACCCAGCAATCCTCCGAACGTGATGGCATTGGTTACTGTTCCCAGGTAGATGAAAAGAATGGCAGACAAAGACTGGATGTGTAGTCCATCGTAGAAATCACTGAAGAAAAAGGGAGCTTTTCTTTTGATATCAAGAATAAGGCCTCCACAAAACCTGAAAAACAAAACATGACATGTTATAATTGTCACAGTGGTTTTCATTGAATTTTATTACATTTCTACATCTTATCTTAATCTGCCTTCCTCTATTCACAAAATATATTTCACTCTGTACAGTGGGGTTCAAAAAACTGAGTGAAACTGAAAATCTGGGATTTAATTCAAACCTAATAATAAACATAAAATAAACCATGCAATAATCACAAAACTTTCAGGATTTTGAACAAGGAATATTATTATATACTATTTCTAGGCCACTAATCAAAATCAAAAGAGGAGTATACCAAATACTAAAACAATTTGAAATTCATGTTAATTTTGTTAACTATGATTAACATTTATTTTTGAAAATATTAAATATTTTAAACAGTAGTATGTTGTTTATTGCTAATATTAATTAGTAAAAGGGATACAAATCTATTTAGCACAAAATACTAACAGTACACAGCAGTTCCTTGCCAAAGGTCAAGTAAAAAATCAAATCTAATGATAACAGTCTGTACTCCGTAAATGGAGCACATGCTGACTTCAATGTTTGTCTAATATTAAGATAATTCTAGTAATTTTAAAGAGTCAAACAGACCTTTATCTGAACTAAACCATGATGTTCAGAGGTTCGGCATAATCTGTTCCTTCAGAAGAATTTATACAAACACTAACTCACTTCCCCGTCTTCTTCAGCTCATCGCCTACTGCGTGCCCCCCGCCCCCGTGTCCACCGCTGTGAGGCGTGTCTCCATTCATCTGTGTGCTGTCCCCTCCAGCATACATGTTCTTTCTGGACAACATAACAAGCACATGGAGATTGTTGAACACAGAACACAGAACACAAAAACTTTAATGTTATTAATGCTCTAAAATAAATGTTATATGGGAGGAAAGCGAGAACAGAGAAAGAAAGATGACAAAAGACACACTCAGTGGACTCTTCATAAGTAATTTTAAAGTCCCCGCAGCCTGAAAAGCCTAAATAAAAAATGCAAGCTCATACACTGGTAGCTCACACAAATGTCTTATGCAATACAAAATAAAATACAAGATAGACATCGTAATTCAATGTTATTCTTCAGTTCCTAAAATTACAATCTAAATGCCATGATATATGAATATGTTACTCACTGAACCATTCACATGGCATGATAATCATTTAAAAAAAAAACATGGAACTTGGAACCATAGAACTATAGAATAATACATAATCTGATAAAATTATCAAACAATAGATAAAATGATAAAATACCAGATAAAAAGACAGACAGAGATACAGAACGACTTAATGATAGATAAAACGGTTAACTGATAAAATGATAAGATAGACAGACACACAGATAGACAGATAGAAAAAAGATTTAAAAACAGATAATTAGGGGTGGTCTTTATGATATCAACATTTTTGAAACCATAGAAAATTCAGAATTCTTGTCACCATTTTCAAGATCACAAAAAACACGATTAAATAAGAACAAGAAACGAATTACAAGCAATAGGACAAAAAAAACTACAGTAGAACAAATAAATATGAAATGCGCCATACATTGTATAAAGTAATTAAACGTATAAAAACACTGCATATTCTTCACTGTGTAAACTAAACATACATTTCTTATTCAATTTACAAAAGTGATTTAGCTGTCACTTTAAGAGCTGCCTGGATCCAATATACTGTAACACATGTGTTCCCTTTCAGTCGGTCACTCTCGACGTCACGTCGGAGGACCGACGAATTGGGATCTCGCTTAGAGGGACCAATCTACTTCGAGTGTAAACTAAATGAGCCAATGCACATTGGCATGCGATTATTGCATCCAGCTGCTGCTGATCACAGCGTGAGTATAAGTAGACAGCAGATGCAGCGCATATTCAGCTTTTCGCTTCGGAGCCGAGCGATCACATCGTTCTGCTCCTGACTACACTACGGAGAGAAGACTGAACGAGTTCAGCACGCTCTTGGAGAGCTCTTCGTTTTGGCAGACGGCGCTTCAGCGGTGGTGGTTTCCCATGTCGAGTGGGTTGCACACATTGCGGGGGTATGACCATCTCGGAGTTGCGGACCGGACTCCGTTACCTGCAAGGGGGCAGAGTGCCCGTGCCACCGCCTAGTTCTGGGGTTCCCTCTGGTGGCAGCCGGGGGTGTCCTTTTTCTAGCGGTGGGCGGACTGGTCTTACGGTCACGGTGAGGAATTCCCCTCCGGGGATGCCCAAGCCCGCCGGCACTTCGAAACCAGCGGAGCTCTCAAAAAGAGCAGGCTGGACCCTCCTGGGGGATACCACCTGTTTCTTCCGAGGCTCCCCCCGACGATTAGATGTCGATTGCAGCATCGGAGGGTAAGCCAGAGCTTTCTGGAGAGGAAGATTCGGCTGCGCTGCTCTCCTCCGGGACCGTAGCAATACCTGGATCGGATCCAGAAATAATGGCTATGCTTTCCCGGGCCGCCGTAGGGGTAGGGCTCGAGTGAAGACTTTCACCGTGTCCCGAGCCCTCAAGGTTGCACGATTGGTTCTCGGGGTGGTCCGC